GTCATTTGTCTACACGTTTACGTGTTGTGTGTGGGTGTGGAGATTTGTATATGATCTTTTACAAAATGGTATCATTCCATACACACAGTTGTGCATCCTACTTTTGTTTTATTTAAAAAATCACAAACATTTCTAACGTCATCAGTTTTCCTCAGAAAATGTTTGACCAGTTCCACAATATCCCACTCTATGGACATCTCATGATTTATTTAACCATTCTCCTAGTGTTTCCCAGTGGTTACTGATATAAACTATGCTGCAAAACATCTCTCTACATTTATCTTTGTTTTTATCACCCTGTCCTTAGCTGAGCCCAATGTAAAGGGGAGCAGGCGTGAGGGAGAAGGAGGCAAGGAAACTGGAAAGCAGAAAGCGAGAGTCAGGGGAAATCCAGACAGTGGGGAGGGTCCCAGAGCTAAGAAAGAGCACATTTCCAAGAGGAGAGAGTGGCCATCTGTGTCCTCACCTGCCCTTGGGTCAGTAAGATGAGATCCAAGAATTGACCACTGCATTGAATACATGGAAGTGGTGTTGGTGTCCTTGGTAAGAGGACACAGGCCTGACTAGAGCAAGTTCATAAAGTACGGGAGAAGAGAAATCATCTTTTAAGGAATTTTGTTATAATCAGTAGGAACCGAGGAGGGAGTGAGGCCCAGGGAGGATGTTAGACTGATGGGAAACACAAGAAGATAGAAAGGATATAGCTATCAGGTAACCTGGAATTATGACATAGTATTTCAAACTGTCCAAAATACCAACAAAGCACACATTCAAATTTACCTCACAGAACATGGAAAATATCCCACATCCGGGCATTCAAGTATATGTACTGAGTGATACGTATAGTGAGCATCTTACCTGAACCAAAAATCATGGTGAACACACATGACCCTTAAAAAAGATCAAAGAAACAAAACCTTAGGTTATATGTTTGAAACAGTATGTTTTTAAGCAGTCACTATAAACAAACACAAAAAATGGGGACTTCTAGTTAAAACTGGGGGCTAACAAATGAATAACTCACAAATTACAGTTGTAATGATCAGTTATTATCAAGTCTAAGTATTTGTTACTGTTCCCAAAAATGTTCTGCTTTGATTAAGGGTAATGATGGGTGTAAACTGGAAATGCTTCAGTATTGGCAGGCAGGTTTGCCTGTCTCAAGCTTACATGGCACAGTTCAGTCAACAAATTCACAGACTGGTACTTTATAAGCACAAAACCGTCTTACACTGGCATAATTAATTATTTTACACCACATCCCACCTCCACAATGAGTACCTAAAATTATTATAAGCGATATGCAAATTTTTAATGATAAAACCCTAATGCCACAGCATAATATTTCCAATTAAAATAAGTTTCTTGATGCAATTGAAAGATACTATTAAATAAGTAACTGTATAAATATCATGTGACCGTGGCAAAAACAAAATTGTAAAAATGGTAGAGTGATGAGCAAAGTTTGGGAAGCTGATGAGATACTTACAACCCCACTTCATCAACTCTTCCTAATCAAGGACATTAGCTGGTATTTTGTCATTAACCTTATTTAGGTGATAAGAATCCTATTCCCCACATGATAAAACAACTCGGTTACCTTAAAGTAAGATAAAGTTCCCAAACTATCCCAAGGTTAAGAATCACCAGGAGTTCACCTCATATTCACTAAAAACAGGTGATCTGTGTTTTTGACAAATGCCCTGGGGATTTCCATGATTAGAGAAATGCGGGGTAGAATACTAGAAAGCACATCTATACAAGTTCTCGTTGATAGCAGGAAAAAAATGATAGCTGAGGGAAGAGGAGATTTAAGAAAAATCAGGTGTTTTCACTGTTTGCCATTTTAAAGGTGGTCATTATGAATGAAGACTCTGTTTCCCCAGGCACTGCTGGATAAGAGTTTTACAAAACTAAAAATAAACAAAACAAATCAGTGTGTTTATAAAATGTCATAGCAATGCCCAAGTTCAGTACACACTTGAGGGAATCATGCACGCCGCTCTTCCCATTTGTATCTCAGTTCACATCTCGAAAAGATGTAAACTAAAAATGGTTACCATAACTTTTTTTTATTTATGAGCACCTGTGCCCAAAGGAACTCAAGGCGAATTAGCATTGTACAAGCAAATGTTATAAATTAAATAGAAGTGAAAATTACTGAGAAATAGAGTATCTGATTAAATTCCAACATGGGACTAAAGCCTAGAAATAAAACATTTTTGTACAACCTCTTAAATTATACCTAAGTGACTTAAAAAGAAATAGTTTAAAATTCCTAAAGCATTCTAAGGTGTTTAGATTTTTCCAGTGCTAAGGATTTGGTATAGAAAGCCATTTATGACTTACCAAATACCCACAGGGTCCTGCACCTTCCCCAATCCCCTTATAATTGGCACAGTATGTGTCAGGCACAGTCAAAGGGGTGTCAGCAGAAGAGACTATGTCACTTCTGGATCTAAATGGGCTGGTGTGAAATCCCCCACTCTCTCTGTTTCTCTCTGTAGGGATCTTGGTGGATTCGATGATGAAGGCACAAAATAGAAATAGCCAGGACAGCTGAGTGACAGCATGGAGGACAAGTGCCCTCAACTGTGGCCCAACAGATGAGCCTTTGGGCTGTTAAGACCCTGAGATTTCTGGGTGAATGTGTTGTCACAGCATAACCATCCTGGCTAATATATCTGACTCAGTCACCTGACTTCTCTGGTTTCCAAATCAGAACTCTCCAGGGAAAAGGCCATTCATTCAATTGCTCCACCCAGGTCAAATCTACCCAGAAACTAGATCTCTTAGCAGGGTGCTCTCCGTGCTCCTCGGCATACCTGGAAACCAAAGCAAAGAATTCTCCCTTCCTTTGTCCTGGGTGATAGAGCACACCAATGGAAAGACTGAATTTTCACATTCCTTCAACCCCCAGGTATTACTTACAAACTTCTTAAAAATGATGCTGGACAAACTCGACACAGAAAATCAAATCAAGAAACATTTTTAGGTAATCATCTCGAATTCCAGGATGAAAGATAATAGAACAAAAGTTTTTCAAATTTAATTTCATTCCACCTTCCATAAAATCTCTCTCATTCTGCCAAAAGAAAGAGTGAGCACTTGTTAAATAATTCACGTGCTCACCTACATATGTCAGCTACATGAGGCAATGTCAATTAATTGAAGTGAAATAAAACGAAAAATATAGTTCCTCAGTAGCACTAGCCACTTCAAATGTTCAAGAGACACATGTGTCTGGTGGATACCATATTGGACAGCACAGAAGATTTCTATCAGTATGGAAAGTTTTATTGGACAATCCTGGCCTAGAATATCCTTTCAATATCTACCATCAAAGCCACTCCTCCCCCCAAATACACACACACACATATATATATAATCAAAGAAAAAATGTTGTATTTACCAAGCAAAAGAGCTCTTAGATAAGACTCCCAGAGGCCTCTCCCAGCTAATGTTATCACTAATATTAATGGGATAAAATTTCGAAAAGCAAAGTGACAGTGGAGAGAAATATCTGTGAGATAAAGAAAAGCTTTACAATAGATCTACCATATTAGTTCTTCAGACTTTTGAAACGAGACATGATATAAAAAATGAGTATGTTACCGCTACCATGGTAATATCCTTGTATTGGGTCTTTGGTTTTTTTCACCAAGATGCAAAAATCTTACAGGCCAAGCTGGCGAAGCTGACACTCACTGCTGTCACTGACACTGACCTGTCAGGGCATCAGAGCAAACCTGACTTAGAAATGCCATGGGATTGTCTAAGTAAACAAAAATTCTGGGTGAGGTACTGTCCAAAATGACACTAGCTAGGAAGGTGCTTTCCCCCTGAGGGCTGTTCAGCTGCAAACTCATCGCACTGACAGTAAGATGAAAATTCCCACAGGGCCAGCTCTTTAAAACTGGGGAACTGTGAAGGAAATGGTGTAGAAAGAGAAGTCTGTCTGAACAAGAAGCTGTCGAGGGGGCCTCAAAAGCTGTCACCGTTTCTGTCTCTTGTAAAAACATGTAACTTAATGAGTAACAATGATGATGAAGATAAGTATTTCCTGAAACATGCGGGACCCAGAGCAGTATGCTGTTTCCCGGCTTCCACTCCCTGCCTCCCCGTGCAGTGCATTATGATGCTCAAGTGCCTTGGTCGCCTTTAAAAATTATCCTGCAGTACAGAAAAATTATCCTACAAGGAGATACCACCATACATCCTTTGGGCTAAAATCTAGAACACTGATAACACCAAATGCTGGTGAGAATATGGTGCAAAAGTCACTCTCATTCATCACTGGTACGAATGCAAAATGGGTTGGCGGGGTCTTACAAAGCTAAGCATATGACTCAGCAATAGTGCTCTTGGTATTTACCCAAATGAACTACACAGAATGTTCATAGAAGCTTTATTTGTGATTGTCAAAATCTGGAAGCAACGAAGTTGTTCTTCCATAGATAAATGGTCACACAAACTGTGTGGTGCCTCCAGATGATGGACTATTATTCAGCAATGAAAAGAAATGAGCTACCAAGCCACAAGAGGACACAGAGGAACCTTAAATGTATAAAGCTAAAGAAAGAAGTCAGTCTGAAAAGGTGAGTCTACCTATGTGGCATTCCAGAACAGGCAAAACTATGGAGACAATAAAGAGATCAAGGTTTTCCAGGGGCTAGTGGGGAGGAGGGGAAGGATGCATAGGCAGAGCATGGCAAGAAACTATTTTGTATGACACAATGATTGTGGACACCTGACCTGTGCATCTGTCAAAACTTATAGAAGTGCACAACACCAAGAGTGAAGCCTAGTGTGAACTATAAACTTTAGTTCATAATGTATTTACAATAGTTCATCAAGTCCAACAAAAGTACCACATTGATGCAAGATGTCAATAACAGGGGAGAGTGGGGCAGGGCAGAGGAGAGGGGACAGAGGGAACTCTCTGTACTTTCTGCACAATTTTTCTGCATACCTAAAACCACTCTAAAACCTAAAGCCCATTAGCCTCTGATGGAGCCTATGTTAGTAGGGGCATTTGAGAGTGTTGATGAATGCCCACCCCTCTGATGAAAAAAATAAAGTCTATTAATCATCCTGAATATCCAATTCCTACTCTGGCATATGCCAGGCTGTCAGCCTGAATACAGTGCCTGGGTGTGTGTGCACACATACACCCACACAGACACACACAATGTCAATATCAGGGTGTGACCACACTTTGAGAACCACTGGTAGACTCGTTAAAGGTAAGGTCCCTCTATCTCTTAGGGAGCCTTTTCTTCTCTCCATCTCTAGGACTGTGATCTAAACACAGTGGAGGCCCAAAGCATGTTTGCTAAATGACAGAATCAATTAATTAGTCAATGTAATTGGCTGAAAAGGCTGCAGAATTAATCCATTCCTTGGACTCTAATTACATGCAAATATCTAGAGACAGCAAAATACGAGTTTGGAGGTGAGGAAAAGAGTAGAAAATAGGAGTTAGCTTCCCTCTAATACTTTATAACTTACAGTTCGACACTTTATAGTCATCTGCCAGTTAGTTATCAGGCACACTGTTGGGGGGGAGAACAAAGAAAGAATGAACTAAAATTCCCCACCTAGAATGATGAGCTCTATTTCAAAAATTACTTTGCATGATGTATGTCGAACATAGCACATCCAAATCAAAGTTGTGGCAAACAAACTCATCTAGTTGTTCTTATCAAGCAATGTTAAAAACAATAAACAATTGTTTTCTGTAATTGCTTTCCTACAGATCTGATATGATATCATGAGAGATTGTTCCTTGAAAATTCGACCCCAAAGTACAGTATTTCTTTACAGATCACAGGAATGTGTAAACTTCTGTTGGAAGGAGGAATGATGAATGTTATAGAGATGAGGTAAGACCAATTCTTATACATGTAAGGTTCCCCATTAATTTTTTGTTATTGTTGAGGATTCATTGAGGGTATAAGAAACCAGGTTACACTGATTCTATTTGTTAGGTACAGTCCCTCTTACAATCGTGTCTTGCCCCCAAAAGGCGTGGCACACACCAAGACCCCACCCGCCTCCCTCCTTCCCTCCCTCTGCTCTTCCTTTCCTCCACCCCTCAAATGTTTCAGAGAGCAGAGCTACGTCCTGAAATTTTTATAAACGTGTAATGTCCTTTCACGGGAGCATTGTAATACATTCAGGCTATAGAGCTGAGCTACTAAGCCAGTGGATATACTTGTAATTTCTTACAGATACAATTACCTACATTTTCCCATAGAAAAATGATACAAATACATTGACAATTACATTATTAAAAACTATGCATTTTAAACCACGCCATAATGTTAGACTATTACAGCAAATATCTACCTGGAACACCCCTATTTGCTGACTGTGGATAACAAGGCGATTGCTGGTAACAGGCAACAAGGTCAACGCATCTCCTATTCATTCTGGGGAGGAATTTCTTCTTAGTGGGCTTCATTTTCATCCCTGCAGCCAGTACCCACCTTGAGAGATGCATCCGATTGATTGACTCCACACACTTGAGCAGAGAGGGAAGAGGAAAACCAACTTGCAGTTTAATACCCTTTCTTCTCTGCAATGAATTTGCCTCCTGCTCTCCACTGTAGCTCTAAATGAGGTACAAGTTCAATCAAGCACCAGAATTTGTTACTTATGGAAGCAACTTCTCTCAAGTGTCTGAATCATTAACTTGTTTTATTTACCTATATGTGTGCCTTGTTCTGGGACAGATTAAAGAGACAAAAGCATTAACTGTTTCTAGGTAGAAACCTGGATTGGGTCACAAAACCGGGCAAGGTCAATCAGGGAGAACATGAAAACAGCTAAGCATGGGCCACTTAGACTTCAGCTCCAAAAGGACAGCATTTCCCAGTCAATAAATACCTATTGGTCCCCACTGTGTACCAAGCATCCTGCTAAGACCTGAGAATTCAGCAGTGAGTACAGCACAGAAGGTGCCTACCCCGATGGAGCCTCTATAGGTAGATTCCTCTATCAGAGGTGAAGTTGCTGTGCCAGGTGCCTGGCAAACCTGGAATCTAGTTTGGAGAAGAGAGATTTGATATCTGAGACTTGATATCTGCCTCTAAATATCTGAATAACCATATTTTATTTTACAAACAGAGAGACATTTTGGGTGACTATAGACCCTAAATGGGTACACTGGGTGAAAGTCAGAAGGAAACTAATGTGGCCCAAGAGAAGGAAGAAGTTTTTAATAAACAGGCCTGCCAAAGAATGAAAGAGATCACAGGTGTCCCAGAAGAGGTGGCAAACAAATTGGGTACAGTACCAGAAAGGTGGCTGTGATGGGGAGAAGTGGATGCACAGGGACAGTGAGGGGTAGCCTCCAATATTATGATCCAGGAGACTTCAAATCAAATCATAGAAATGTCTTCAACATCTCAGCTCTTGTAATTTTAGCTTTCATGAAACACTTAGTAGTCATATAATGATATAATAGGCCATCACTTCCTTGGTCCCCTACCATTCCAAGTCAGGCAGAAACACTAAACACTGATTTCTGATGGTTGTGCTGGGTTCTGGGACACCAAGTGTCTTCAAAATGCCAACTGCCTCTTTGAAAAATGAGGATCTCAGGTCCTGAAACAAAATCACAGTGTAGTAATTACTGAAGCAAACCATTCAAGAGGACAAAGGCAGGTCTGCAACAGCTCCTGGCTGTCAGAGTAGACAGGATTTCTAAAACGGTCTCCTAATGATGTCCTGCCCCAAGCCCGAGAAGCTATAAGTGAGATGGCACTGCCATGATTATGCTGTTACATGGCGCAGCTATCACGGTATGTTCTATGGCAAAACCGACTTTCAGATCAGGAGATTAGCCTGGTTTATCTAGGTGGCACAAATACAAACCAGCCCGTAAAAGCAGAGAGTGATCCCCAGCTGATGGCAGAAGAGAGATTCAAACCTGCTGACTTGAAGGTTGAGAGGCCACACAATAAGGAATGTGGGGACCTCTAGAAGCTAAAAGCGAATCCTGGCCAGCAGCCAGCAAGAAAGTAGAGACTTCAATTTAACTGCAAAAGATTGGATTCTACCAGCAACCTGAATGACCTTGGAAACAGAGTTTTCCCCTGAGCTTCCAGATAAATGCCTAGCCCAGTTGACACTGGAATGCTGGCCAGTGATACCCTGAGCTTAGAGCCCTGCCATGCCTGGCCAGACCTCTGGCCTACAGTCCTCGTCAATGGGAGTCTTTTTCTAAGCCAGTAAGTGTGTGGTCATTTGTTACGCAGCAATGATAACCACCACAGAATCACAATGGCAGTGATGAAGCACTGTCAACTAGATATAAGGACTGAAATGGCCAATTCCCCAGGACCACAACTCCACCAGGTCCCCAGCTAAGGGGACCGAATGGGTTCAGATCCAGAGAAGTCTAAGTGGAGCAGCACCTCAGTTGAAATCAAGGACAGAAAAGGCTCACCTCATTCAGACAGGAATGAAAGGGTCACACTAAACAGCTTCTTAAGGCTCTGTGTAATTAACACTAGCTGACACTCTCCTGGTCCCCAGGGAAAGGGGTTGCCCTGGCAGGTAAGTGGCAGGAGGAGGCACTTGGGGTGATGTGCACTGAGTGTGGCTCACAATGTCCAAGGGTGGTCTGTAACTGCTCCATGGAAATAGCCCTTGGAGAGGAAGAAATTCAGGGGCTCAGGAAAAGGGCCTGGTCCTTGCAAGCTCCCTCTCCAAAGCCAGGCCTGTATTGATCTCCCGAGCTTGAAATTCACAGGAAAGGAGAGCACCCCCAAGTGACCAAGGGACCTTCTGGTGGCCTTGAGAGTTCTAAGACTCCTCACCGGGCAAGGGCACATCTCGCAACTCCTAACAGGTCTCCCTGCATTTGCTCTTGTTCCCGTAGGGCCTATTCTCAAAATAGCAAGTGAGTGATCATCTTTAAAAGCACAGGTGTGACCGTGTTATTCTTACCAAAACCCTCCAAAGTACTTCTAGTGGCCTACGGACCCCCCGGGCTGTCCAGAACCACCTCTCTGGTCTTCTCCCCGAGCCCTCTGCTCCTCCATCATGTTGCCCACGCTCACCGAGCTCCTCTCTGCCTCCGGACCATCACACCTACTCTTTCTGGAATACTCTTCTCCCAGACACCCACTCAGGGTGCTCTCCCCACTTCCTTGAGGCCTCTGCTCACCTTATCAGAGAAATCTTCCCAGACCAGTCTATAAAGAATAGTCCCTCTTCCCTACCTCCTCTCTCTCTAATCCCCCTTACCTAACTTTGTTTTTCTACGTAGAATCCATCACCACCTGCCATGATTTTTATTTGTATGAGTGCTTGCTTATTCTCAGTCTCTCCATAAGCTCTGTGCGTTTCCGTTGTTCAGCTCTGTATCCCAAGATCCTCTCACAGTTCCCTGTACAGTAAGTATTCAATAAATGAACAAAATGAATGAATGTCAGGAAATTTTCTGGAAGATGTTTGGGTGCTCAGATTGGATCACCTAGAGTGAAACGAAAAGCAACATTGGATTCAGGGGGCTCCAGAATAATGGGATGGTAGAGTTGCCACAGGAAGCTAAAGACATACTTTTTTATTTGCTCTTTTGACAAACAATTTCCATGTATCTAGTCTGTGCCAGGCATGAGAATTTCTTCCACACAGGAAAAGATGAGCACCCCTCCTACAATAATGCACCATAAAAGAGGTATCTTGCAAGGATTCACATAGAAGTGATGGAATAATCTAGAAAAATGCACTGTCTTGGGAAAGGCTGTAAAATGCAGGATAACGCTGTGAAGAGGTGAGAAAGCTCAGAGCTGCTAACTTGAAAGGCTGCCTTCTCTCTCGTTCTTTCCAGCCTCCTAATTTTCTCTGTTTATCTACTTGTCTTCTTTGGGCTCCTCAACTTAGAATGAATCCACGAGGGGGAAGTTCCCCTTCTGGTCAAATTGCAAAGCGCTCAAGAAGGACAACAAAGGCTTAAGCTTGTTGACTCGAGGGAGTTCTAAGATTAGCCAAGTGCTGAAGCCACCAGATAGGCAGCAGAGCCACCTTGTTTACTAAGAAAATGACTTACAGCTGGGGGCGGG